CTTAAACCAGCCAGGGGTCTGGGACAGTTATTGCATAAACCAGTTGAAGCCAAATCAGTTGAGTCTGATACTATATTCAACCAGGTTTATCTCAAACCAGTTTCAGCCATTTTCAAACTGTTTTATGTGCACTGAACATTTGTTCTGTTACAGGTTTAAACCAGTTTCAGATCACTTAAACTGGTTTATGTCTGTCTCTAGCCTTAATGTCTACAAAATGAACCATAACCAGGAAGTTACCTCTGAACACTCCCACCACTCCTGCTGAGTGGTAGACTTGATTGCTGTGGCTAAAGAATGGCACATTGGAGGAAGGGGAGGCATACAGCCTGGGGGAGCCCTAGGGAGGTCCCTCCTCTTGCAAGGGTTTTTTTCTTCCCTTGGAGACCTGAAGTGAGCCAACTGGTTGGCTCAGTAATTTGAGCATTTGTCCTGAATGTGGTGAGTTCTCCCTAGCTGCTCTGCCATCTCTCCCTGTAGCTGGAGCACAAGATCAACGGTTTTCAGATCCTGAGGTCTGGCTTTTTCCTCCTTCTTCACAGGACTATAGGAGCCCAACTAGGAGAACAGATTTAGGACTCCAAAGTGTCTGATCTGCAGTTATTATTCATCCTAGATTGTGATGGTCAGAGCAAAAGAGAAACTAAGGGAGTAGCTCCCAGAAGCAAAGCAGACCTGAGATCTGGCTGGTGGGCTTTGTTTCTCTCAGGCAGGGGAGACCTGGAGTCTGCACAGAGTGAAGCCCCGCATCAAGTCTCTCCTGTCCCATTTGTGGGGGAATTATGGAAGGACTCAAATGCTAAACTCAGTTCTAAGGGTAAGCTGGAGAGAGGAATGATTACTCAGGAACTGCTGATGCAGAACAGACAAGGCATTTCCAGCACCATTACCGGAAGTGATGAGATGGGAACTGTTTTTCTGTTTTACACCCATCCAACCATTTTTGGTTCTAGTTCTGGGGGGTCTGAGGCTGACGAGTCTTCCTCTGCAAACTTCTGCAGATTCAGTGGGCATCAGGTTATGTCTACACTTGCAGCATTGCATAGATATACCTGAGCTAGCTTTAAACAAGCCAGCTGGGCCACCAGCAGTAGCCTGCTCCTTGGCAGGATAGATTAGCCTGCATGGAACTCTGTCTTGCTGTAGCTAAACTGCTGTTGGGACCAAAGCAGGTTTGTTTATAGCTGCTGTGCATATTTCTACCCTGCACTGCAATCTGCCATATAGAATATCTTTAGTTCCCTTCTGCACAAGGGGGATTATGATCCTTATCTACTTCTCCAGGAGCTTGTGAGGATTAAATAGTTAACATTTATAAAGCACTTGGAATAAGCAAAGCACTAGTTAAGTGGAGAATATTATTATAATCAATCTGCTCTGCTGAGCAAAACACAAAATAATAGTAATAATAAAAAATATTTTGAAAAAAATCCCTGACTAGGAGCCATCAGGTTGATTCTTTTCTCTTTCTTTTTTTTCCGTGCTGTAATTGTAGAAATACTGATATTGCTTAGATGTACATGATCATTAAGGGGGGAATAGTGGATGAAAGCTGCAAGCAGATTGCTCAGTAGTTGCAAGCTAACATTTAAGGAAAACATCTGAACATGAATTTTCTTCAGTAGGAGGGAGTGTAACATAAAAAATATATATATTAAAACCAAAG